TAAATTTGGTGTATTCTCTCCTTTATTGTTTTTATTCGGTTTTTTCCATTGTGTTTCAATATTCAATAGTTTGACAGGTTTATCTGTTGTGCAACCTTTGGTGGTTTTGATCTTGACATTTTAGGTCAATTTTGAAACTACGTTCGTGTGGAAAATAACCCGATTTCCCCAACACCTATATCGTGTAACCATGGATCCTGCCAGAATCTTATAAAATGGCCATTTCCTAAGTTCCAAACCACCCCATTGCGTAAGTCCGCTCATACCTTGTCCAGTCCTCTCCAGAGGTTGGAACAATTAGTTTCTTTGATGTTATCTAGTAGGATTCCTTGGCATTTGTATTTCGCTCTCAATAGTTTGACCCAGAGTGCTTCCTTATTATTGAGTAGCTTGAAAGCGATTTTCAAAAGAAAAGCTTCATTCTATTGAGATAGATTTCTCAGACCCATGCCGCCTTTCGATGTTGGTTTGCGTAATTCATCCCATCTAACCAAGTTGGTACCTCCTCTTTCTGTCGATTGACCCCATATGAACCTCCTGATAATTTTTTCAATTTCCAAACAGGTGCCTTTGGGTATGTAGGCTGATTGCATTGTGTATGAAGGAATCGCAGATATTACGGCCTTGGCTAAGGTAATTCGACCTGCTAGCGATAGTTGTTTCATTTTCCAACCTGATAGTTTCTCCTATATTTTTTGAATCAGGCATCGGTATGTTTTCCTCCCATGAATGATTGGAATGCCTCAGTATTTATCTAAGTCCATAACCTGCTTGAAACCAAATTCCCCACTTAGTAATGATCTTACTCTGTCTTGTACATTGCGTGAGAACACCATGTTTTTCTTTTCAATGCTAATTTTTTGACCGGATGCTAAGCAAAATTTCTCAAGCACTTTCTTGATGACATGTAATTGGTCGATAGATGCTTCGGCGAAAAGTATCATATTGTCTGCAAAGAATAAGTGTGAGATTTCCGAGTCATTCTTACTTGTTTTAAATGGTTTCCAATGCCCATTCTTCGCTTCTCGATTAATGGCTTGCGTAAATCGCTACATACACATGACAAATATTTATGGTGATAATGGATCTCCTTGTTAGATTCTTTGGGATTATGTTGAACTTATATTTTAATATAAGGGAAAAATGTTTTTCGATTTAATTGAATTTGCTCAAATGATTCAAAAATACTTCAAAGTCCAAATTAATTTGAAAAATATGTTTTAAATGTTTTCTAATTTTGTCAAACTTTTAAATATTGTTTTAAAGCTCAAAGCTCTTGAAATTAGTCAATTAATTGTTTTTAGTCTCAAGACCGAAATTTCATAAGGTTTTTCTAGTATTGATACCTAGTATTGATACCATAGTATGGTATCAATACTATAATGGTATCGATACGGAGACTCCAACAGCTATAATTTTAAATGTTTTTCATGTTCGGTCTCGATACCAACTTTCCGATATCGATACTAAAGTTGCAAGTGAGCATTTAATGCTCAAAATTAAAGTTTCCAACGACTTCTAAACATCCCCAATGGCTAAAAACAACTAGTAACCATTTCCAACATATAAAATCAAGTTGAGGACACTTGAAGAATGTTACAACACCTATCCAATCAATCTATACCAAGAGAGATTCAATCTTATTTTTCCGTTTCTTTTGTACATAGAGTGTTTCTTCATGTTCAAATGCCAAAGAGCTATGAGATAAGCTCAAAGAACTTCATGGTGACAAGAAAGAATAATCATCGAGTTCAATTCTTCCAAATTCAAAGGTGGTGTGTTTAATGGCTCTTGAAGAGTCCAATATATGTTCTAATTCTTGTGATTTAAATTCTTATTCTTTTAAAGAGTTACAGAAGCCTATGAATTGTATTTGAAATTTGAGACCATAAATTTCAAATATAATAAATTAATTTCAAAATTTAAAGTTGAGAATGATTTTCTTTTGAAAACAAAAATAGATTTTGAAAAACAAAATGAAATTTTAAAAAATGATTTTGAGGTTTCAAAATTAAAAATCAATGATTTAAAAAAAGAAAATCTTGATTTAAAAGATAAACTTGAATGCTTCAGAAAAGAAAAAAAATTCTCAGAACAGTTCATCATGTTTAAAAATGACAAAATGCTCACATTATCATTTCATGGTCACATGAAATATACTTGTCCTTTAAAACATAGAAAACATTTTAAAATTATACAAGTATGTGTTCCCAAAGAAACAAGAGAATTTTGCACTAGCATTCAAGGATCTAAAGCAATTTGAATACCAACAGCTATTTAAATGTCTCTTTAGGTGTGTGATAGCAATAGTGGCAAAAGTGAAGAAATTCAAATGCTCTAGCCACACAAAATGAGGAATAAGTGACCTCTAAACTTAATTCTTTTTATTTTACATAATTGGTTATTTATTTTGTTTTATGCATGCTTGAGTTTTGAACATAAATGATTATACGTTGTTTGTCATTTTGTTATGGTGAACATTTTAAAGTTTAAATGATTTTTTTTTTCAAATTTTAGTTCATCATAATGTTTTTGGTCAAATTTACTTTTAATGTTTTGTTTTTACAAAATTTTATTTTTGACCTTAAATTTAAATGTTTATGCATGTGATTTTATTACAAATGATGTTTCTCTAACAATTTATATCAATTTTTTAAATGCATAACATTTTTAGATTGCTTTAAGCATATGAACTTTAATGTCTAATGTTAATATTGTATAAATTAATATAGAATTGAATTTATTGAAATTTCATGTGTTACTAACATGTTTACTCATTTATTGAAATTCAATAGTTTTAAGTATCAAACTTTTAAAGTCGAATTTTTTTAATGCATTTGTTGAGGGAGAATTTTTTATTTTTCAAATGATTTTTATGTTAAAAATTCTACTTACCCTCTATTGTTATTTTGTACCTTAAAGTTTGAATTATTTTTATATAAAAAAGGGGAGAAGAATTGATTTGAAAATTTCAACTTCAAGAATGAAATAGGGGAGCTTAAATATTTTTTTCAAATTATTTCTCCTATTCAACCATTGTTTTAATAAGGGGAGCTTTAAAAAAATATTTTTCAAATGTTTTGTTATATAAAAAAGGGAGATTATTGAATTATATTTTGATATAACAAATAAGGTAAAATTGTTTTTGGACTTAATTGAATTTGCTCAAATGATTTAAAAATAATTCAAAGTTCAAACTAATTTGAAAATATGCTTTTAAATGTTTTCTAATTTTGTCAAACTTTTAAATATTGTTTTAAAACTCAAAACTCTTGAAATTAGTCAAAAATTATTTTTCAGTCTCGAGACCAGCATGTCAGTTTCAAGACCGAAGTTTCAAAAGGCTTTTCTGATATTGGTACCACGGTATGATATCGATACTGAAAGATGAGTATCAATAATCCTTCATATAAATAAGGTGACTTCATTTCAGATTAACTTGACTCAAAACGCCTAAATATTAGTAGTACTAAAATAATAAAATTGCATTATAATCATTCAACATTAGGGGTCAACGTTTAATCGAGTTAAATCAAATTAAAAAATTTAAGTTGTTTAGATTGATGAGTTATATTTTATAACTCAAGTTTTATTTTGAATTTTTTCGAGTCGAGTGGAATTTATAAAATTTGAGTCGAGTCAAGTTCTTTGAATTTTTGTTTAAATTTAATTATAAATATTTATAATATGTGATTTCAATTTAAACAATTTTCTATAATCATATATAATGCATATATTAATATAGTTCTTCATATTTTTATATATGAGATATATATATCATATAAAATTAAGGGACTCAACTCAAATTTAAAAATCAACCCATTAGTTATTAAAACTTTCGAGTGATTCAAGTTATTATTTGAGTTCTTTTTTATAAATTGACTTAAATTAAAAAAAAATTGAATCAAGTTTATAAAATTACTAATCGAGCCAATTCAAGTTAATTTTTTTTTCTAAATAAATCGAATTAAAAGAAAATTAATTTTTGGAGGTGAGTGGAATTTTTGTCTCTAAACGTACTAACGCGTGAATGGGAACGTTCCCTTTGTTTTCAGCAATAAGAGGAGGAGCGTGTTCAACCTTTGCCATTCATTGCAGCGAGCGGGGCTATAAATGATAAACCAACTCCGCCATTTACTTCTGTTTCGTAATGAAAATGTAGAAACTATTTAATGTCGGACGTGGGATCGGAGACACTCACATCCCGTGGACATCTGATAACTGAATATTATGACTGATCTGCAAAGTACAGGTATAAACATAGCATGCCCTATTTGATCTGAATTCAATTATCTAAACTAATTTATCTGATTTAAGAATCAATATAGATTTGGATACGATGATCCTAATCCAAAATAAAGAATGAAAGAAAAAAAGAGATATTTCTGTAATGACGGAGTGGAGATTTTAAGAGTTAATATCTGGTGAGCTTGAAGCAGTGGTGATCGGCGTTAATGGCAGCCGTCAAAATACAGAGGGGAGGTGGAGTGTAGAGAGAAGCAAATCAAAGGTAAAAGCATATTAAAGAAAGTGGGAAATTGAAATGGCTAAAAAAAACAACTATATCGGCATAGTTGTTTTGACTTTTTACTATTTACCCTTTGTAAATACTTGTCAAAGCATATAAAAAATCACAGTACTTTATGTTAAAGATAAATCTTGAGTAGATGGAAATAAATTATTAATAAAAATATATAAATTATATAAAATTTAAAATTCTTATGAAATAAATTATGTTAAAGACAACTGTTTTTATAAATCCGGTGAGTCCATTCCTGAGGATACCAAAAAATAATTTGAACTCACATTCAAGCATAAGCATATAATAGGTGGTGCATAAGCATATAATAGGTGGTGCATAAGCATGCTTGAAAGCAACATCCAAATTTGAATTGAAATTTCCAACATTTAAAAGGTACACAATCAAAAGTACAAATAAAATAGCCAATTGAAAAAAGAAATTAAAAAAGAAGATAAAATATGGGTAATTTATTTTTCTAAAAAAAGGTTAAAAATTCTCACCTTCATCAGCTTTTACCATTCTACTAAGAGGACTAGGGCCAAGCATCTTCCTTCTCATCAAATTTTTCCTCCTTATAACTTCCATTTGATTCCTCCGACGAACTTGCATCATTGATTCTTCTTCCACAACAAACCTCCTCATCAAAACATCGTCCGTCAACGATTTTCCACGGAAAACTCTTCTTCCTTCCGTGCTAAGTCTCATGCTAGGCATTGCTTTTTCTTGTGCTAGGGGAAACGGCTTTGACCTAGGGTAACTGTTGCTTCTTCTAGGGGGAACATCCGCTCTAAAAACCTCGTTGTAGGAAGAGATTGGTGCACATAGACAAACCCGAGTAAACGTAGTGGCAACCCTCAGGGAAGTACATTTACGTAGCTTCTCCGATCTATTGGGATGAGTTGAAGGGATGTCAGCAGGCTTGGGAATCGCTTTCCACAATGTTGCATTCGCCATTGGAATTTCTGCTGGTCTTGAAATGGTTTTCCACAAGGTTGTAGCATTCGTAGTAGGGATTCCTGCAGTCTTCGGAACAGTTTTCCATACGGTAGCCCTCTCTATTGCTCTTTGATACCAAGGCTTTCTGTGGAACAATAAATAAATACATAGCATGATGAAATCTTGAACAGGATTTTTCTTTTTGCCTATTCATTTGAAGAACTGTTGAGGATGAAGACCAAAATCCCAAAAAAATAAAAACTCAATAGCAAAATCACAATGATAGTTATATCTGAAACATATCCATGTCACAACCTACCTTCGTTCCGCACTCATACTCAAATCCAAGAACAAAAATTGGAATTAATCCGGATATTTGAGCTAACAGTCAAACTATCAACAGTTGCTTAGGGTTCACAGGGATCATATGTATTCTGGGGCAGGATTAGGACCATAACACATTAAAGTTGTTAACTGAACAAGGCACAACCTTTAGTGAAACTGCAGACCAAGTTTGAATCTTAACATTTACAATATTCTTATATTTCCAAACTGTAAAACAAATTGAACAGGAAACCAATGATGATGATATTAATAAATAACCTCAGCAATGATCTTTGAGTGATCAATTACATATTTTTGGATCAGGGTTCCTGCATATTTCAGTTCAGTTCATATATGAGCTTGACAAATAAGCATTAGCCCGTGGAGAGGATCGAAATGGGAATTCTTACCCAAGCTAAAGGGCTCAACCATCGATGCACCAAGGGTGTTTGTTAAAATGCCCTGATTTTCATGCAGTTTTGAGTAAGAAATGTTTGAAATGCCCTAATTTCGTACCTCCTAAATTTATGTTATAACTTCTTATGTTAGTACCTCTCGACATAAAATTTTGCCTTTGTTCCTCGACTCAACCACTGACTTAGCATAGCACATTGGATCAAATCAAATAAACATAGAGGACCACTAAATCAAAACACTTCGTGGACAACTGAGCTAAAAAAGAAAAGCTGCAGAGTCTGCAGATTTTGAACGTTTCTTACTCAAAACTGCATGAAAATCAGGGCATTTTAACAAACACCCTTCAATGCAAACTTGTCAGGCTGATTTCCACAAGTTTTTTAAAATCAATTCAACTTAGGGTAGAATTGGCAATAACATTCCTATCTATCATCAACATGAAAAACAACAATCAACCACCTGGTAACAACATTTTTTCACTTGAAAAAAAAACAATATGATACTAAAACAAGCAAGAGCTTTATGGGAAATGTTTGAAATGATGTGAGCAATGTTGCAGCATTTGGGTTACATGAAGAACAACAAAAGAGAAGATTTTTTACCTTGTGTGAGAGTTCTTTGGATCTTGCATGAACAAAGCAAGGTGAGGAGTGACGAATGAAAGATGAGAAAACAGGGTATTTTCATCTGTGAGGTGAAGGAAGGTGAAAAAAAATGGAGCCTTTTTGGGCTTCAAGATGAAGGGATATTGAGTCTCAAAGGCATGGAGGAGTTGGCAATGTGGACTTCCTTTTCTTTTTATTTTCCCTCTTTCTTTTTTCCTTTGGCAGCCATGATGCCAAGTGAGCTTCTCTTTCCTTTTTGTAGAGAGAGAATCTCAAATATTAAATAAAGGCAAAGTAAGATTGTGAGTACTTTTTGATGCAATTACTCTGCTACCCCTTAAATCATCTTAATACATTGTAAAATCTTAAGGGGGTGTTTGGTTCAAGGAATGTGGGATGGGAATCCCACGTTCCCATGTTTGGTTGACTGGGAATCTCATTCCCGGTAATGTTTTATTATCAATAGTAGATTTTTTGGGGTATATTACCGGGAATGTCATTACCTCCCTTCCCTTAGGTATTGTAACATTACCGGCGTTTTGGACTAAAATGCCCTTAAATTTTTATTTTTTTCAAAAATATCCTTCTTCTGTCATTGAATAATAAAAATTCTACGAATGTTAAATTACAAATTTATCCTTAAATTATTTTAGATTTACAAAAAAAGTCTATAATTAAAATTTTATATGAAGTTTAGGGGTTAAATTTTTTTTACCCTTTCATTAAACATTTTTTATATTTTTAATTTTGTAAAAAATTATATAAATATTATGAATTTAATTTTTTAAAGAAAATATATAAATATTTTACAATTTGTAATATTATACAAATATATAATAAGGACAATTTGGTCAAATATACATTCCAATAATCTTTTATTCCTTTGACCAAACACGGTAATCTTACATTCCTGCTAAACCAACCAAACACAAAATACAACATTCCCAGTAATCCTATTCCCTGGTAATCTTTTATTCCCACTGGTAATCTTACATTCCGTGAATCAAACGCACCCTAAGTGCTTTTCCTCCCCTCTTACATCAAATGGATTTCTTTATAAACAAAATATCCAAATGTATTATACAATTATAAATAAAGAAAAACTCACCTAAAAAATGAACCCTAATTTATCACAATATTTCATCATCATAATCATCATCATCACCACAATTTAAGGATAAAATTGTTCTAGTAATGTGTTGAAAAATATATTTTATCATGTAGGGTGTAAAAAATTATTCTTCAACCAGAGTCTTTAGCTACAATATTTATATGAAGTAGCTAGAATTCTACGACGTCTTTTAAAAGATGTTTGGACCACCTAAGGACTTCTACAGTATCACTAGGCTATCTTTATTATCATGTATGTAAAAATATGAAGAATGCATTGTATACTCTAAACAACTTCTAAAAGTCGTCGTATATTTCAGAAGACTATTATTATAATTTTGCAACACATTATTCAAAAAAAATTTACCTAATTTAAAAAGGTTAAAGTTTTATTTACATTTTCATATAATTACTATTTTCTACTTTGAGAGATGTAATCGTACTTTTAAAATTTCAAATATTCATAAAGTTTGGATATTTGTATATTTTTTATTAATGATTTAATTTAACATCCTTGAAATTTTATAATTTCACACCCTCTAAATTTCTACTATAACTTCTTATATTTATATTTTATAACATAAAATCATGCATCCACCTTCGAATATGATTCCTTAAATATATAAGTATAATAATCGAATCTTTAATTAGGAATTCTTTTTATTGCTTATGTATTTTAATTTATAATATTGGAATAGTTGGTTTACAGCTGGGAGGAAAACAATTTTAAAGCAGATCCCAAGTTAACATCACCTTGATGCTATAATCATGTTCTCTCCAAAGGTTTTTATAATTATAGCAAGTGATATTGTTTGGGGTAATTCATGTCGTTCAACACATGCTTGTCCATTCTTACAATAATCATGCAGGATCATATTTCATTTTAGGTAGTTGGGTTACTTGACATTTAAAGGATGAAAATATAGCTTTATTAAATTTAATTATAAATTTATTAATATAAAATAAAATTTCGATATGTTATAGATTAAAACAAATTTATATCGTCAATTATTATCAGTTCACTCCTTTTAATTTGAATTAATAGTATTATCTGATGAAAGTACGATTGTTAGTCGATATTTTTCAACGAGAGAGATAAAGGCATGAGAATCAATATGAAGATGATGGTCGAAAAGACCTTTTCTCAACTTAAGGTGAGAGTGTTTTACTCTAGTTGAGAATGATAGGCCTATGGTCATTATGACTATTCGTATGTTCGCAAGTTAAATAGATTTTGTCATTATATCTTAGATTTTGTTATGATAAATCATGAGTGTGTTAAAAATATTGTCTATACACTATTAAATGATTTGAGAATTATTATCATCCTAAAATAAGATGATATGAGTTTCTTGAAAACTCACATGATCCGAATCAAGGAAAAATTAATAATTTTCAAAAATCATCTTCAAATAATAATAACAAATAATTATTTTATATATTAACTATAACAAATATTTTGTTCCACGATTTATTAATCATCATATAACATTAATTGATATTTTTATTAATCTAGATTAAGTACAAAATAATATCTATTTAAATATGATTTTTAACTTTTTTTTAACATTGAACGTCACATGCATGATATCTATGATACTCAAATTTAAGTCTTTAAAGAATAAATAATCAATTAAATAAATAAAACATATTAGACTTTAAACTCACACAAAATAAAAAAAATATCTGCAATGTTTCGATTAATAAATTTATATTTAATTATAAAATACGTGAATGCTTTAATCAATATTTGCAATCTAATGGTAAGCTAAGGGACGGCAAAGAGCAATTATGTTTACAGACTATAAAGATGAATAAATCATTATTAACCTTTCCAAGGCAGTCTTTTATGGAATACTTAAGTTCAAATACATTACTCTTCATACATTTACAATTTAATCCTTTCATTCTTATTTTTTAAACAATCCCTTTAGTTTTTCAGATTTAGAGATGCAATCTAATTATTAAAACTGATCTTTTTTTTTTTGAATTTGTTGATGTGATATTTAAAATATAAATACTAGCTTAGCATTCATTTAACAGAAAATGTAATAGATCCGAATTGAACAAAGAAATCTAATGATATTAACAATTAAACTTCAATTTCTAAATCTAAAAAATAGCGGAATAAAATTTTGAATACAAAAATAAGGGGGTTAAATTCTAAATGCATGAAAAGTATAGGGATTTAGAATACATTTTAATCAAATATTTATTATTTAACCTTTGTAATATCGCTAAAGTATGAGCCTTAAAATTGAGATCAATTTTATATGCATAAAAGGTTAAAATCCACTAAAATGGTGGGCTTGCTCTTTTTCCTTTGGCAGGTAGTACAATTTATTAATATATATATATATATATTATTTTTAATATTATATATTTATCCATGATTGATTGCTCTAAGTTTATAAACGAAATTAAATTTTATTATTTTAAATGTATTTTGAAAGAAAGGTGTTTATCTTTATATTAAATAATTGTAAAAGTTGAACAATAAAAAAATGTTAGAATGTGGGTGGAGGAGTTATATCACAAACTCCAAAAAGCTGCTGCGCAGAAAGACATTATGATTGGGGATGTTGGATTAATTTCACATTGCCTCTCTCCTTCTTACGTAATAATTGCGTTGATTAGTTCTTAAATTAGTCATTATTTCATTATTAATTATTTCTTAATTTGTCAGTTTTTGTTGCTTATTTGAGTGAATTCTTCTCTTTCTTTTTTTTTCTATGCAGAGCAATAGATTTTGAAAACAACAATTAAATGGTATATTTCTGTAGTTTTTTTTAGAGTCAAGGTTAGATTAATGGGTATAACTTGGCACATGAAATTATTGACGTCGAATCCAATCAATATATTCTAAAAGGTACAATTAGCATTTTCATAGAGCCAGAAGACTCGGCCAAAAATTTTAATTTGAATTCGGATTTATATTTTATGATTTAATTTCGAAGAATTATCTTTTAAGATTTTTAGGATTTATCTTCATGATTTTAGGATTATCTTTTAAGAATTATCTTTAAGATAAAAGTTTGAATATTTTTTAAGAATTATCTTTTGTAATTTATTAAGATTTATCTTCTTGATTTCTAGGATTTTAAAACACTATAAATATAACTTTGGGGTAAGTCTAAGAGCACATCTCTCAACTCAAGAATTCTTTTGTTTCTTTCTTTAGCTTTTATAAAATTTCTTTTCTTTTTACTTTCGTATTTTTTCTTTGCAAACTTTCTTTGTTTTTAAATGTCAAGTATGATTTTTATCATGTTTAGCTAAGTTTTTCATAAGCCAAAGACTGAAGCAATGACTCAATTCCTTTCATGAGAATTGAAAAACACCTCATACCCTATAGATTAAATTTCTCAATTTTTTGAAAACAATATTGACGGATCATATTTCTCAAGATCAAAATTCTTTCATTTAAAAAATAGATTTTGGCTTGGATGATATTATGGTTTACTGTTGGGATTATATAATCAATTTATTCGAATTCCCCAAAGCACACTCAATGATAGCCGCTAAGAGGAGATTGAGATCGAGTTTGACTTTTATAGAAAAAGCATAATTCAAGTCAGGAATTTTTCAAGTGTTTCAACTGTTTTGAATTAATCATGATAGTCGCGGTTAATCAAATCAAGAATTGAAATTTCCAAAATAGATTTGGAAGAATCAATCAAAAAGGGGAAAAGAGGTCACCATCTACCTGAACACCATCTGCCTGCAATATAGCCTGTGAAAAAACCCACCATATATGATCTTTTTGTTTTGGAATTACACAGACTAATTTTATTGAATGTAACGTATCTTACTACTATATGTAACCCTTATGGGCTGTATTATCTTTTTTTATTGCCACGTAACAAAGTAGATGAAACAAAATCAATTTAGCTCGTAATATTTTTTTTAGTTTTAATTCAATTATTCGGTTTTGATTTACAGTGATTATTGAATAAAATCTCATTTTGTTTTGAAAAATGAAATTTTAAATTTAAATTTATAAATATCAATACAAATTGTACGTAAATGCAAATATGATAAAAGTATTTGAATGTGATAAAAGTTACATAAAATTAATTATAAATGTGCAAAATTTTATATAAAAT